AAAAAAAAAAAAAAAAAAAAAGAATTAGCCAGTCAGGTGACCTGACCTTCCGGTACCCCCCTGAGGATCTCTGAGGAAAGCACATCTTTCCACAGAACCGGAACTGCAGTCATGAGTCCCCGCCCTCCACACCATCCAGAGTGTGGCCAGCGTCTCCATGTCTTCGCTCTCTGCAGAGACGTTAATGGCTTTTTCTGCATGTGGAGGGTGGCTCTTTCACTGACGCATGAGGTTAATGTCAGGCCTTCGGTCTGGGTGCCAACGACATCTCAATCACACAGCTGGGGGAGCAGAGGGGACCTGACGCTGCACCATCACCGACAACATCGAGGCTGCCCCACAGCCGCGGTCTTGCTCTGTGCTGGAGCAGGAGCTGGCAGTGCCGAGGCCACCACCTTAGGGGACCTGAGGCCCTGGTTCCTGAACGTGAGGGAGGTGACTGCTCAGGGACCAGGTACCCCTTCTGAGACGTATGATAGCACCACAGCCTCCCCCCGTCCTGTCTGGGTGGTCTTTCTAGAGCAAGCCTAACCTTGCGCAGACAGTGGTGGGTGAGGGGAGAAGACACTGAACTATGCCAGAATCCATTGTGTTTGATGTTCTAGATAGAAGATCAGAATTATGGGATTAAAGGAATTTATAGTCACACATGGATTTCAATAATCTAAACTAAAAGTCCATATGAAGAACCAAGAAATGGTCATTACCTTCCCTCCTTCCTTCTTCCCTTCCTTCTTCCCCACCCACCCATCTACCCACCAACCATCCAGCACCCACCTACCCATCTACCCACCTACCCATCCACCCATCTCTCCACCCATCCATCTACCCACCTACCCATCCACCCATCTCTCCACCCATCCATCTACCCACCTACCCATCCACCCATCTCTCCACCCATCCATCTACCCACCTACCCATCCAACCACCTACCCATCCACCCACCCCATCTACCCATCTATCCACTACTCACCCACTCATCCTCCATCCAGTCACCCCCACCCACCCATCCCTCCCATGGGTAAGGGCCTAGATCTGCAGCGTGCAGAGCAGGCCAGGTCCGCTCCGAGGCGACAGGACAGAAAGGCCATGCTGGCCACTGAACGAGGGAGACTGGAGTGAGCCCTGGGTCTTTCATTTGTGTGTGGATAGTTCTCTTGTTTCCAAGTCAGGATACACCAGAGGAGAAAGTCTACAGACAGAACTGACTGCTGGAAGCAAAGGACAGCAGAAACATAACATTACCTCGGATATTCTACAAGTTCTCTCTCTAGGTGTCGATGTTTACTCTTCAGAACAAGCCAAGGACAGGAATACACCCCGAAAGCTTTCAGGACAGCCGGCCAAGGTATTGCGGCAGGAAACCTTTGCTCACA